TAGGCTGGAAGGAGGGAAAAGAGGAGAGGGAAGAACATATTCCCAACAGATACTACAGGGACTCAGCAGGAAAGGCGAGCCTGTCATTCAGTACATCAACAGTGGGTTTTGTTAGTGTGGCTGGAGCCTAGAACGCAAAAAGAAATTGCTATAGAGGGAATGTTTGCATCCCCCCAAATTTCATATGTTGAAACCTGTTCCCTGATGTGATAGGTCTGGAGGTGGGCCTTTGGGGGTGATTAGGTCATGAGGGTAGAGACTTCGTAAAAAGAGATTAGTGGGCCTCCCTGGTGATGGGGGCTACATTGCAGCACTATGAAGTTATCCTCAGCCATTGCAGCATGGCACAGAGTTCAATGCCCTGCCTGCCAGGGAGGTACACACATGGCACAGCGACCTCTCCTGACTCGCCCGCTGCTCCCCTCAGCAGTGTATTTCAGTCTGTCTGCCTGTTCTGCTCCCCACTCTGTCTCTGGTGAATCCTCTCACACACCCCCACCCCACACCTCTTACCTATACCCAATTCTTGTATGCATAAATAAATAAACTTTTAAAAATAAATAAATAAATAGAATTAGTATCCTTAAAAAAGAATCTACAGAGAGCTCCCTTGGCCCTTCTGCCTTATGAGACACAGTATGAAGGCCACCTCTGAACCAGGAAGAGGGCACCCACCAGATACCCACTCTACCAATGCCTTGACCTTAGATGTCCCGGCCTCCAGAGGTGTGAGAAATAAATTTCTGTTGTTTATATTCCAGCCCCTCTACAGCATTCTATTATAGCAGCTCAAATGGACTAGAACAGAAGAAATGAGAGCTGAGACAATAGACTATTCAGCTGTCCCATCCAGCCAGGTAGCACACAGTGTGACTACAGGTCTCCCCAGCCCTAACTTGTGTACACACACTTATGATGAACATGTGTTGTTTCAGTCTGCCCAGCACCCTACGCTCTGGCTTCTGGTAATAAATCATCCTTTTTCCTTTGCCATTCTTCCCATCTTCTATCAGTTTGTGTGTGTGTGTGTGTGTGTGTGTGTGTGTGTAACTCACGCATCACTGTTCTAAGAAGGGATATAAATTCACACCCAGAGAGAGTCTTACAGCTCCCTAACCATAGTGATTAATTCAGCAGCTAGCATATGTCTAGGACGCATGTGCCTGGCACTTATGCTTGAACTAGCAAGCGGGAAAGAAGTGCGCTTCCTATTAGAGTTGACAGAGATAATAGAATATCAGCCCAGAGCCACAGGCAGCCATCTGGCTACCACTCATTCATTCAATAACAGTTTATTGAATAGCTATTATGTGCCTAGTGGCACATTAAAATACAAAAGGCATAATTCTGTTTCTTAGGCTTTCAACATCAACTAGAGAGACAAAGTAAACTAATCATGTAAATAAAATGTCATGTTACATAGATAATCATATGATCAGGGAATGGCAGCGAATGTAAGAAATGTTCCTGAGAAAACATTTTTTGAACCTTATTGGATAATTAGCACTTGACAGAATGAATTGGGACATGGTGGTGGTTCTAGAAGAGAAATTAGGGATTACAAAGGCATAGAGGGGAGCATCAGCCAGGCAAGCTCTGGTGACCCACCAAATTCAATCAGACTGGAGGGTAATGGCTATTCAAGGGGGTGGGGAAAAGAAATCCAGACAGCCTTGCTGGGAGCGAATCATGGAGGGCTTGCGTTCTTGCTGAATTAACTACAAGGAGCTTCCAAAAGAGTTCAAGCAGATGGATGAGACCATCAAGTTAGCCTGTTAGAAAAATCACACAAATCATAATGTAGAGAATGGTTTGAGGAGTGCCAGAATGCAGGAAGGGTGAGCCTTAGGGGGGAGCTGCAACATCTTCCTTTTTAAAGTCAATTCAAGTCAAATAAGGATTAGGCAAAGGTGAGCAGGTCCTGAGTCTCAGATTTTCGAGAGGACAAATGGGATTTCCTGGTTAACTGAATTGTGCAGCTCTGGCCTGGTGAGGGTCAAAGTGATATCCCTGATCAAGATTAAATACAGGTGGAAGACACAGGTTGTTCAGCTTGGGCCATGGTAGGTTGAGTTTCTGCAGGGCAATATGCTGGGGGTGTCTGAGACAGTGAATATGAGTCAGGAACTCCTGAGAGAAGTCTTCAGGGACTCTGGGGCCCCTGAGAGAGGTCTTCAGGTGGCATTCACTATTTCTGCAGTCCCTTCCTGCATGTTTATATGCACTGTCAGTCAGATATTGGCAGCATACAAGTCATAATTAAAATCATGGATATGGATATGGATGTGATTGTCAAAGAAAAGCACAGATTTCAAGATAAGAAAGTAACAGTTTTAAGTAAAAGGCAGAGGAAGAAAAGTTCATGAAAACTGAGAATCAGAGCTGGAATACCATGAAAGGAGTCAAGGGAGGAGAAACTAAAAAGAACAATAACAGCAGCGCAGCAATCCTGACGTGTCCACTGCAATTCATAGGGTCGGTGGATTGGTCAGAAAACAGGTAGGAGGGCCTCCCTAGCAGTGCAAGGAGTTAAGCACTGCACTATAAAGCAATCCACAGCCTCTGCAGCACAAGTTTGATACCCAGCCAGCCAAGGAGCTACCCACATGTCGCGGCAGACCTCTCCTGTCTCACCTGCTGCTCCCCTCAGCATTGTATTTCAGTCAGTCTGCCTGTTCTATTCCCCATTCTGTCTCCGGTGGATCCTCTCACCTCCCGCATCTCTGGCCTGTACACCAGCTCTTGTATGCATAAATAAATAAATCTTTTTAAAAAAGAAAAGAAAAAGGGTAGGACAGTAAAGAAGGACCATGAGTGTTTGTTCATTGGCTGGTTGGTTGGTATAAAATAGGAGATGCTCTGATATGCCTGCCTTTGGTGTAAAGCCAGTGTAGAGATGAAAGAATAAAGGAAATGAGTGATGGATGTGGTCCCTCAGGGGCCAATGGGAACAGAGCTCATTGTCCAAATGACAGGAAAACTCTGGGGTCAAGAAGTACATGTCTGCCATTGAGAAGAGGGAAGGAGGCAGCTAGGGATGGATGAATGCCTCTGTGGATAATTTTGTGAGTAAGGCTGATGGAAAAATGTACACAAACTAATTATATTAAACAAAGTGATTCTAGGGCCTCCCTGGTGGTGCAGGAGTTAAGTCTCAGTGCTATCAAGCTATCACTAGCCACCTCAGCTTGATCCCTGGCCAGGGAGCAACCCACATGGCACAGCAGACCTCTCCTGTCTCGCCTGCTGCTCCCCTCAGCAGTGTATTTCAGTCAGTCTGCCTGTTCTGCTCCCCACTCTGTCTCTGGTGAATTCTCTCATACCCTCACCTCTGGCCAACACCCAGTTCTTATATGGACAAATAAATAAATCTTTTTTTAAAAGTGATTCTATTTATTATTCTATTAAAATATGTTCATGATTTCCAATTTCCAAAGCCAAAAATGACTGAGCAGAAGGGGATACATTTCAGGAAGCTATGGATGAACTGCACAATCCCTAACGGTGGGGATTTTCTATTATTTTCCTCTTTTGTAATATTTTTCTCTTCTATTTGAAACCATAGCCTGGCTTATTTTTGACTCCTTGTAATTTCTTTCAAGCTGTAGCCTGTAGGTTTCACCTATTTTAAGCAATTTCATTTTCCTGAGTGTCAGGATTTTTGTGTGTTTTTGCCCCTCAAAAATGAGCAGCAGTTAGAAAGATACTTGTTCCAATCAATAACCATTTGGAGATAGAAACTCAGATATTAAAGATCAGTGTGAGTTGCTTCTCGGAAGCAACCTTTCCTCCTACCAATATCATATCATAAATATGCCCACCTTGGAGGATGCTTCAGGTCTCTGTTACTGAAAATCACAACCTGAGTAGGTCTGGATGGTGACATGGGATCTCCAGCTCATATATAAAGCCCCCCTCTTCAAATTGGATATGGAGCAAACGCAATGCCTTGTGGAAAGCTGCTCGGCCAGGGAAACACTCACACTAGGGAAGGAATCACTCTCTAAAGAGGTTATCCTTTCCAATCCATTCATGTTAAGCACATGAGCTAAAGCCCAGGTTAACTGGAATGGAGACGAGAGCCTGAATTCAGGTCTCCCTGACACCCCACCCACCACTTACTCCGCCTCTCATAACTTCTTTTTTCCTGTTGGGCAGCAAACTCAGCAGGGTCAGAGACCTATTCCATCTGTTCCCCTAGGTATCCCCAGCATGGAGGTGACAATAAATATCAGTTAGTAAAACACCCAGGATAGATCCCACTTTGTCATTCATGAGGTTTCATGCAGAGCTGAACACCAGGGTAAATGGTCTCAACAGAAAGAAAAAAATCACAGACACATGGTTTATGAACTCTGAAAATGCCAGAAATGCCAGATGTGACTTACATGGTGGAAACTCTAGGACAGCAGCTGTAGAACCATCTCTTGCTAAAAGATCGTGTCAGGGTTTCATTTGTCCTAGGGTTGGCAGACACCACACCACTAGCTATCTATATAGCTTGAAAACAGAAGTTTCCACATTGCCTTTAAGTCAACTTTAATGGACTTGAATCCTTCTTAAAATATTAAACAAACTCTCTTCTCGCTCCCCAAATACTGTCACTGCTAAGCCTCCTTTCATTTTCCCTCAATCAAGCCTGCCTAACATTTTTATGTAAGTTGAAATTCCATGTCCTTTTATACCTTAGTAAAGCAAATCATCCCATAGGGGCTAGCCCCTACCAAAGTTTGCAGAGTATACAGGCTCTTCAAAGAGTTAGGGTTTGAAAGTAGCATGAGACACAGCTGAAGTCAGTTTTTTCAAACAAGACCCTGTGAAGTTCTTCGTTTTGCTGAAAACCATGTGCCAGCCTGATGCCTTTTTACCCTGGTTGAGACCAAATGCTTCTCAAATGAATCTGCTAAAAGGGTCTCTGGGGAGAACTGCATTCCCTGTTAGCATTCTTCAGTTTGGGTTTGCTTTGGGTTAATTGGTTAATGGTGAAAATAAGTACTTACATCTTTGGCCCCTAAATCAGGAGTGGCTGCTGCTGCTTCTGCTACATCCCATCCTGACAGCCTGCTGTTACTCACAGCTGGCAGACACTGTGAACTGTGTTGCCACGTCAGCTGCCCAGAACCTTTCTGCTTCAGCCACAGTTTCCCAACGGGATGATTTTGTCTGTACATCCTGAGGCTGGAAACATGATCTGGCCACCATATTGAGAAGGTCTGGTGAGGGAAACCACGAACTGAGATGACAGAAAGAAACCACACATTCTCTTTCATGTGCCTAAATAAGAATTTCAAGGAAAATTTCAACATTATATTGACTTTCTAAACAATGATGACAGCAAGTTAATAGCTGACAAAATCAAAATCAGGATTAGAAATTGAAAAAGTAAAGTTCAGGGACTCAGCATTATGGATTTAAGTTTATTAAAATGCTTTGAACGGCAAATCTGTTGAAACAGTGAATATTCATGAATAGGGAAATAGTTGAATAGATTATGAAACATTTATGAAATGGAATATTAGGATATCTAGCAACAAAAATTAAGTTAGGTCTCTATCAATTCACTTGGAGGAAGTTCTACAGCATTTATTGAGAATAAAAATATAATACCATCCCATCTGAGGTATCTATAACACATTATTGTGTGAAAAAGTAATTATCCCATGTGCTGTTATTATATATATATATATATATATATATAACTGCATGTGATTATATATGAGTATTTATGCATCTATTTAGATAAAAGTACATAAAAGGTATATGTCTAGCAGTTAATAATAATTCCTTTGTTTGAAGTAGAGAGTGTACAAAGGCAGTGGATGGGGTGGAAGTAACTTTTTTAAAGATTTCACCACACAACAGCATTTATTTCATCCCATTCCTTTAAGATTATCTGTATATGAATGAGGTTTGTGCTTAAAGAGACATATATGTAGGTTGACAAAAGTGTTAATTATATACCTTCAGGTGGAAGGATTCAAACATGGCTTTTATGCTCTATAATTTTACATATATTTCCTTTTATACAAAGAAAAATGTTATTTATGTGATCAGAAGAAACAATAAAGCTGTTTCTATTATGTAGAAATTATTGACAAGTGGTAATTTGCTTGAATTCTTATGTTTCTAAGTCCTTCCACCAAATCTTAAATAAATGTGGGTTTTCCCCTTTCTGTGTTCCAAACACACTCAAGAATTCTAAAGATGTTCTTGGGTTTATACTAAACAAACAAGCCATGCCAAGGAGAAATGTAAAACACTCTTCCAACCCAACCTCACGCAACCCAACTATTCTTGAAGATTGATGTCAAAGCTGGGTACCAGCTTGTCCTTCTATGATGTAGGCTGCAGAGGGAAGGCCACCAGAGCACGTGCACACACAGAGATGTTAAAGGCTTTGCTCTTCAACCCATACAGCCTCAGGGGTCACTCAGAAATCATTTGAAAAAAATGCCAATTGAGGGAAAAAGAGGGAATTAGAGTAGACCTACCAATCCCTGCATTTCAGCAATAGAGTAAGAAATAGGAAATAGACTCTTAGTGGTCAATGATCAACTAACCAACATATTTTACATCATTAGAACACAGGAAAAGTCATATTTTCTGAATTAAAACGAAGTATATTAAAATGAAGCATATGAATGTACCTGATTGTTAAGTTATCTTATTATATGGCCAACACGGGAGTGTTCTCTTTAACTGGGTAGAAATTCAAGATGTCCTATTGCCATCAGGACCGTGTATCCACTAGATATGTGAATGCATCAGAAGGCATGTGTTGTATGTGCGTATTCATTACCTCAGAGTGGGGGGAGCTCTCAATTTTAAACGTAAGTGGGGAAAAGGCCTGCTTTAGGTAAAATTTCTGAATTATATAATTGCTTTAAAAGACAGCATTAAAAAGAAATGTTCTTTTACTTTCAACTACAAAAATAATCCAAAGTAGAGTCCAAATTTTTTTTATACTAGAAGTATCTTTATTTCAACCTATCATTTTAGATAGAAATAGATTCAGAATGATTGAATAGCTTGCCTAAGTTCACACAGTAGAACTTAGGGCCTCTGGCTCTCAAAAATCATCCCACAATGTTGAGCTGTAAATATTAAGAATAGATCCTGCCTAGCCTGACTTGTTATAACTAGACAAGGCAAATAGAACCTCCTTAGATTTATGCAAAGGATAGTTAAATAAGAATAGAAAATTTAGGATGGAGGCATCACAACACTAGAAACTGGAAGTGGGGTTAGAAATGATTGATATAGTTTTTAAACCAGCTATAAAGTGAAAAATCCTTAGGCTCAGCCTACTACAAAAAGTAACCAGAGGCTCAGACCAGAGGTGGGGATATGGAGATGGAGGACCATTAAAGAGAATCCCCTCTCCTTACAAATCAACCAAGACACACCCTAGAAGTGATTAATTTAATAATAGATAGCAATTCCACAAAGAAATGAACTCTTCTCCAAAAGAACAAATAGAATCAGTACAATTTGCACTGGCAAAATGAAGTTCTCTGCCCACATATGTCTATGTAAGTGTCTCTCTTTTCCTTTCTCCTTTTCATATAAATCTGCCCTTTAAATGTAGGTTTCATTGTTTTTGTTGAGTCTCATCAGCTCTTTGTAGATTTTTGTGATCAGTCCTTTATCATTAGTGTTGGGTGCAAAAATGTTCTCCCAGTTGGTGGAGTTTCTCTTTGTTTTGGTTATTGTCTCTTTTGCTGTGCAGAAGCTCTTTAATTTGATGTAGTCCCAGCTGTTTATCTTTGCCTTCACCATCACTGCTTTGGGTGATGTGTCTGTAAAGATGTCTTTGAGGCGCACGTCATGTAGTGTTTCGCCTATATTTCCTTCTATATATTTTATGGTTTCAGGTCTTATGTCTAATTCTTTAATCCATTTTGAGTTGGTTTTTGTGCATGGTGCGAGGTAGTAGTCAAGTTTCATTCTTTTGCATGTAGCAACCCAGTTTTCCCAGCACCATTTATTGAAAAAACTTTCTTTGCTCCAGTGCATATTCTTTGCTCCTTTGTCAAAGATTAGTTGAATGGGCAGAAGAACTAAAAAGAAACTTCTCCGAAGAGGAAATGCAAATGGCCAACAGGCATATGAAAAAATGTTCAACATCACTTGCAATCAGGAAAATGCAAATCAAAACTACAATGAGATACCATCTCACACCAGTGAGAATGGCACATATTAAAAAAACTAGCAACAACAAATGTTGGCGAGGATGTGGAGAAAAAGGAACTCTCCTGCACTGCTGGGGGAGTGCAAACTGGTCCAAGCTCTATGGAAAGCTGTGTGGAGATTCCTCAACCTACTAAAGATAGAGCTCCCAGATGATCCAGCAATTCCACTCCTAGGTATTTACCCAAAGGACACAGAACCATTAATTTCCAAAGAGCACCTGCACCTCTATGTTTATAGCAGCACTATTTACAATAGTTAAGCTTTGGAAACAACCCAAATGCCCAAAAATAGATGACTGGATCAAGAAGATGTGGTACATATACACCATGGAATGTTACTCAGCATTCAAAAAAGATAAGCACATGCAATTGGCAGCAACATGGATGGAGCTGGAAGGGATCATGCTCAGCGAAATAAGCCAAAAAGAAAAAGAAAAATACCGGATGGTCTCACTCATAACAGGAATCTAGAAAACCTAAATAAGGGACCAGGAAAAAGAATAACTATAAGAAAGAAAAAATCAAAATCAACAAACAACTATGAACCAGAGACACACTATGGGGGGTAGGAGGAGGGGAAAAAAGGGGTTGGGGTCAAAATAAGGGGATTGCAATTGTATGGGGAATATAAAAATAAAATTTAAAAAATAATAATAATAAACAAATGTAGGTTTCACCTGCTTATGTCTGTGCAAACGTCTTTGTAAACTTGTCATGCCCTGTGTAAACGTCTAGGTAAACTTGCCATGCCCTGAAAAGGGAACTCTGATGAAACTTTTCCAGAGGTAATCCAGAGATACTGCTCACTGAACCCCAAACCTCATCAAAATGACAGCAAGTATGATCTGCATTTGTCAACTTGTCTTATGATTCCTTTATTCTCCTTGACCTTGTTAACAATCACTAACTCACTCAACTAGATGAAACGAAGGATACAAATTAAAATCCATAAAAAAACAGATTGTAACGAAATGCCAAATATGTGAAGTCAGCAGTAAGTGCTGAGAGTTCTACAGAGGAAAATTAACCAAGGTAATTTCAAGGGATAAGAAAAGAAATCTATGCAAAAAGTGATAGGAAAGCAGATTCAAAACATAAGGTTTCTTCTCCGAGAATATTTGTACTGTTCAGGCTTTCACTGACGATAATGAGCCTTGTTTACAAGGGACTTGAGGCCCCGTTCTGCAGACAATCTAGCTCTCTCATTATACACACATGCCCCTTATTTAAAAAGAAGCACGTTTGGAAAATGTGCAAAAGGCATACATCCATATATTCATGAACCTGCATTCTCCTTGGCTCAGATATCTAGGATAAATTAAGGAAGTTACTAGACTTTTCTATCTGTAATTAAACAACTGAACAAAAAGTGGAAAATGCAGTAACTGCTACAAGCCCAAACACATACCTTCAGGGGTCTTATAGGCACATAGTTTCCAACCCCATCAACACATTAGCTCAGACTTCACTGAGCCAAAACCCACAGCAGAAAACAAGTATAAATATTTCTTCTTGAAAGAAGTTTAAGCTCCAGCCCTTAAATGAAATTACTTGCATACAACAGACCAAAAATCTCATGTTTACCCACCATAAACCAAAGTCATATTATAGGAAAGTATTTTGAACTCCCGAGAAGAGACTGTGCAAAAGGTAGGAAGCCCACTTTTTAAGCAGGTACCACAGCACAATACTTATGTGTGCTGGGTGCTGAGAACTCACTGCCATACTGGGAGCCTGGCTCTGCCACTCTTTAGCTCCATGGATATTGGGAAAATGACTGACTCTCTTGTATCCTCAGTTTCCTTATCTGTAAAGTGGGCTTAATAGTAACTATGTCAGAGATTGTTTAAAAGAATAATTGAATAATTAAAGG